CTCTCAACCCCATGATTTGCCTCTCAAAATGCGGGAAATTGTGTTTTTGAAGGCTTGAAAATCCAAAATTTCCAGGGGGAGCATGCTGGTATGTGTATAAAGTAGACAGGCTGCGTCAGTTTTGGAAACCAGTGCTCTGGTCACTGGTGACGTGATTATATTAGCACAGAAATCTTGTCCACAGGAAGGCACTATCATCTGTCTTCTGTCATCCTCATCTGTAAGATATTAATATTTGGTGTCTGGAATGTTAATTGAGTCGGAGACAGGCCATGTGGCCACTAATCTGTAGACAGGAGTCTGCTGGTTTGGATGTTGTCTAGAGTAATGCGTGAAAAAATGCATAAAGGCTGACATTCCTTTTCTTGAAAAATGTGTGATCAAAAAGCAACATAATATAATTCAATGGAAGGAATGTTCAGTCAACTTCAACTAGTGCTGATAATATTGATCATATGAATTCAATTTGATTGATTGTAATAACTGGAAGTTCAAGACTAAAATCTACATCTTGAGTTTTCACCTTTGTCAAATGAATATTAGCAGTCAATTTGACAAAATGACAGACTGGGTGGAGTGTACACTTCCAAAATCATTAATTTTTTTCTTGGAAACTTGCTTCTTTTGGAAACTTGTTATCAATTGGTACATGTGCGAAAACCTGGGTGAATGGATACTATAAATCCCTTTATATTCACGGTATTTTTATATTCGAGGTTCGAACAAATACTTCGTTGACTTTCTTTCTTTTGCACCTGCTGCCACCTGCGAAGGTGTCCATTTTTCACAGACCGCAAAATTTTGCTACTGCAAATATAAAGTGATTTACAGTGCTTGAACTTGAATTTGACATGAGATCCTTGGTAGTGATCACTGGTGTCAAGGTCAGAAATCCTTTATCTTCCCTGTCCGTGTGTTAGAGGGATAGGTAACATTGAGGTGTGCCGCTGCCTTGTCAGGGTTGGTCTGTCTCCTGCACTGTGATTTCAGGGTGATTTGTACAAATGTCGCAGGTCGCAGTTGGTGCATCTTAGCTTAGGTCAATTGGGGCCATCTACCCAATGGGGTCATCCGTTCTAAGTCATACTCAGGCAGTGTCCAGAGACTTTACTGTAAAATTTAAAGGTGCTCATCTCATGCAGGTCCAGGTAATCATAGAGAAGTGTTGAAATTTAGTTTGTTGGCATGCTTCTTTGGAAATTTCTTTGGAAAACTTTATGAAGTGGTACATCCACTGCAAAAAGGAATGTCCAAAGAGGTCTTTGAAATTCACTTGTCTTTTGCACACACAGAATCCTGCACCTGTATTACCTCCATGAAATGTCATGGAGGTTATATTTTCAGTTGCATTTGTCTGTCATTCTGTCTGCCATTCTGTCTGTCTGTTGGTTAACAAGATAGCTAAAGAACAGCTGGATGGATTGGTTTCATACTTGGTATGTTCAATGGTAAGGTGTTACGAAAACTGGAAATGATTAGATTTTGAGCCCCCTAGTGGCTTCTCTTGGTACTGCAGCGGAACTTACTGGTCACTTGTTTTCGGTAACGAAAATAATATGTATGCGCAACTGCTTATGATTCGATTATCGTTGGGTTTACAAAAAAGAAGAAACTAAGAGGTCCATTTTTATCTATTCCTCTTCCCCTACTGGATGAGGGCAACACGTGCTAAGATATGCTACTATTACTAAGAAGATGACCTAAATGATGTAAATATGGTCATTTAACACTGAGGTGGAGCATTCTACGTCTGCTTCGAAATTACACTGTTCAACTTCAAGCCAAAGTTGAATTACATGACAGAGTGAAGTGTGTTTAGTCCTTCTTGGCATCATATTTGTTTAACAATCTCCAGGCACATGGAGACAACGTGAAATGTTTACCCCAACACAGACAGGTTTTGTACCTGGTACAGGAAATATAACAGCTGTCTGTAATCACTCTGGAATGTCGCATGTTTGTTGAACTGGAAATTATGACAGATTTATGTGGTGTCCCCTGACCCTATGATATTTGGCATACTTTTGTTTAATTAGTTATCTATAACTATAGAGTATGGTGCATGGCTGTGCCAGACAGCACATTTGATTCACAGGCCCCTTTGAGTGGCCATAATTATACATCAATGATGATAACTTGGTGACCAAAAGCCCTGATTTCCAAGAAATGTCTTTCTTTATCATACATCATAGAAGGATAAAATCAAACTATTTTAATTGTCAGAACCTGCCTTATCATATGATATAAGAACCAATATCCTAGGAGAAAAGACAATTTTTTTTCTTAAATACCCAAAATATAGCACTTCTGTTGCTGATAAACTTAATCCAAATTCTATATTTTAGGAACAACATTTGACATTCCTTGAACAAGTATTAAACAGACTCCACATGTGTAGGTTTTTTACACTCAAATTCATTTATAGATACTGGAGAAATTATAAATCATGAAACTGGGAGACATGACATAAAATTCTCTACTCTTGCCATATGAAGTAGACATCTGGATGGAATTATTTCATATCAGAGTCATTATCTCTGAGCTCATAACTCAGCCAGACTGTTTCCATAAACATGTCATAACTCCATCAGTCTTGATGGGGAGAAAAGTGTAAACAGGTGGTCTGTTCTGCTGGGGAGGCAAGCATGCAAGCAAGACAGACACTAGCCTGGAAATCAGACAGTTCTAAGGATCTTGTTTCAAGGGCCTCCACAGGCCTGTAGGGGAGGCAGGCATGCACAACAGACGCCTGGAAATCAGACAGTCTCAAGGGCCATGTTTCAAAGGCCTCCACAGGCCTGTAGGCACGCATACCAGATACACTCCAGTTTTTCTCTAGTCTGGAAACCAGACTGTTTTAAGGGCTTTCATACTCATAGGCCTGCAGGGGAGGCAGGCATATACACGAGATACACTCCAGTTTTTTCTCTAGTCTGGAAACCAGACTGTTTCAAGGGCCTCCACAGGCCTAAAGTAGAGACAGGCATACACACCAGATACAGTCCACTTTTTCTCTAGTCTGGAAACCAGACTGTTTCAAGGGCTTCCACAGGCCTATAGTAGAGGCAGGCATACACACCAGACACATTCAAATTTTTCTCTAGTCTGGAAATCAGACAGTTTCAAGGGCCTCCACAGGCCTGTAGGGGAGGCAGTCATTCATCCAGTTTTCATCTTGCGACCGTTAAAAAACTGTGAACATAAAACTATCACGATTATTTCAAGACTTATACCGTAGCACTTGCCCCCTTGTAAAGAAGCAAGCCTTTTTCTGTACTTTGTATTTGTATGAAAGAAGTAGAAGGTAATTTGCTTTAGATAACACCTGCAAGAAGAATAGAGCAATGTGCGGTGAAAGATTAAAAAGGCTGGTCACTGTACATGCTTCCTTAATGATGACTAAGAGCCATTTAGTCATGCACACACTGTATAACAGTAACCGGTTGGTAGATAATTTTGTACTTAATTATAATTCGCCTTCCTAATTGTTCCAATTGGTCACCTGTTATAAGATAGGTGACTCTGAAAGGTAACTGAGCACTTTTGGACTGAAAAAAATCTAGAGTGTACTTTTTTTTTCAAAATTTCCTTTTTCCTTGGTAGTATCACTTTTTATGCTAGATTTATCATTTTTGTCCTGGTGAAAAAGTCTTTCAGAAAATACCAGTATTGGTTGTTGTTGCATAAGAATTAACGTCGCTGTGCTCTGGCCTGTTACCATGGTAACAGCATGTAAGTCCCAAACAAACAAACAAGAGCCTATTTGTAGAGGAGGGTGGTTAATATGGGCTGTACAGGTTAATGATGATAAAGGAGGGTTAATTACTGAACACTTTGTTAGCAGCTGTTGGATAAAGTAGCGGAGATCGGATGTTGCTTTGTGCTCAGAGATTATGAACAAGACAATAAAGGCAGTACCTTATTTTATATTTTACCTCTTAGGCCACACCAATTTAATTTCTTGGTTAAGGGATTCGCCCGCTTTATTTTTTTCTGATTTGCAAATAAAAATAAAAATTCAGAATCAACTGCAAGATGCTCATATTTTGCCCTGAACAGTTTAAAACAGTCCTTTTCTTGCTACTTGTTACAGTCATCCCATATTTCAATACAGTGGTATCACTAAAAGTTTAAAATTCATTGTTTAAATTTTGAACCAGCCTGGTGTGTTGACTTCATGTCTCCTGTCGTAACCATTTTGGGCCATAATAGGATGCCTAGGCCTGTTTATATATTTTTTTTTTTCGCCCGCCCGCTCCATTATTTTTCTAGAAAAATCCGTTAACCAAGGAATTAAATTGGTGTGGCCTTAGTATGGCGAAATAAAAAGGAACAGTATTTAATATGATAGGTCACTACGGCTGATAACCACTAGCATTTGCAAACTTGTAAATGTTGTAAAAGGAAAAGTTGAATAAAAAAATAAAACTGTAAGCAAACTACTTCATTGGCATTTCTTCTTCATGTAAATTATAATATCCCCAGTAGTAGTTTTAGCACTGATAGAACTGGGGTTGTGTGGTGTAATGGTAGAGTGTCCGGCTCAGAACCAAGAGGTCTCGGGTTTGAATCCTGCCTTGTCACCAATCTTGTACCCTTGGGAAAGGCACTTAACATGGCTTTCCTCACTTCACTTAGGTGAAAATGAGTACCTAGCTAGTTGTATAGGACATTAAATGGAGGTCCCGCGCTTGGAGAAAGCCACACACCGCACCCATTTAAGAACCCACCACGCCTTTCGAAAAGAGTAGGGGCATGCCCCAGTGTGCAATGGTATAAACACTACTGTTTGGAGTTGCACTTCATATCACCCGGACAGACACAGAGGCCTGGCAAACCACTGTTTTGTATCAGCTACATGGTGATTTACATCATCACCCGGATGGAGGCTTGGCGAACCCCGTCTTGTAGTAAGCTAGTAAAAGGGTATGTCACCTCGTAAGGGGTGATAAAACCCCAACCATTACGATTTTTCTAACCGTTGTTTCTTTGTGTTGCAGGTATGGATATGCAGGTTTACAGGGAGGGGACCAGTGTTCCTGTACCAACAACATCAACAGACTCATCCTAACCACACAGGACCAGTGTAACATACAGTAAGTCTGCCCTCAGCTCTTAACCTTCTATCTACTGATTAACCCTGTAACTAGTGCTGTTTACTGGTTTGCTGGAACTAGTTCCGGTCTTTAAAAAAATCATGTCACATTACCTGTTTTGTTCTAAACCACCCAAAACCAGTCAAAATTTGCACTGAATAAAACATTGCCATTGAACAATATCAAGTGTCGGCCTCCGTAAATAATATGGCCACAGCTTTGCCCAGATGTGCCCCGCAAATTACGTATTTTGCTTCTAAACCCTGGTAGTGCAGTGCTCACTACAAAAGTTTGCGGTAAAGATGTTTCAATTGGGAAACGCTCACTGAGAAGTGCCTTCCATATTTTGTAACTGAACCTAAACCTCTAGACTTGAATCCAGATCAGGACCCGAACGTGGGTTTTACACAAATTTTTGAATTGCTGAGAAAGTTCTAGTCCATCATTTGCCGAGGTTATATTCCACAAACTTGTGAATTGCATTTCCTATTTACCATTAATAGGATCATCCCTGTCTAACTGGGCTGTAGACATGATTGTTGGTTTGCTCACAGAAGTGTAAAGGTTTGCACGGATAGTTGAGTACCAGGGAAGCCTCTAGTTGTTGACAGAAACAGACAGACAGATCTTAAGGATTTCATCTCTGGTATTAGGTACTGAACGAGTCCTGTTACAGAAAAAACAACTGGTATAACGCCTAACATTTGCACTGCTGAAAAAAAAACACACACCAGATCCTTCCTCTAATGATAATACAAGTTGTAAATCACTTAATGTTCATGGTACCAAAAGTTAGAGGTCTGAGAAAAATGGACATGTTTGTGGAACTATACATTCGATGTGGCGGCAGGTGCAGCAAAAAAAAAAAGGCGGCAAATTATTTCTTCACAGTAATGATAAGTTTACGGTACAGAAGTGACCACGAAAACTACCAATAAAAGTACTGCGGAAAAATTGTGATTTACAGTAGTCGGCTAGGCTAGGATGGTTAAATGCAGCACACATAATTTTGTTGGTGTTTGAAAGAAGAGTAAACAACAACAACTTTCCCTGGTATGTTACATGATCTGGCAAAGACAGGTTCTGACAAGATGAGGGTTTTGGCGCTCTTTCAAAACAAACAGGCCTGAAGACTGCTGTGGCACGGGGCTTTAGTTCTGTAGCATGTTAATGGACTCAGGACCAGGTGAGCTTAGGAGGAGAGACATACCTGTAGAGATGCTCAGGTTGTGATGCATACCTAAACTCAATTTTAGGTTCAGGTCCGGATTCAAGTCCAGAGGTTTAGGTTCAGGTCCGGACCTAAACCCATGGCATATACAAAATTGAATGTTGGCAAACTTGCAATGTTGTCTGGGTGAAACTTTGGCCACATAACATGGAGGCCGGTACTTGACGATGCCCGATGGCAATGTTTTCTTCATTTTGCAGCAAAGATTTTAAAATCTACGGAAGGTTTTAGGTGGTTTGGAAAGAAAAGTGGTATGTTAAATGGTCTTTTATGGTAATAAGTTCGGACTCGGTTCTTGACTTTTAGGTTTTTTTTGACTTGAACCTAAACATTCTTACAAGTCCGGATCCAAGTCCAGTGAACCGGTATGCATCACTATGCTCAGGTAACATCTATTGTTTAGAAGGAACAGTGGGAGTCTGGAGGCTGGATTGATAATGCAACCTCAATGGAAAATCAGGAAAAAGCCAGCAGGCTGATTTGAGTATTTCATGAATAAACAAGGCTCAAATAAACAAGTAAACAAACAAACAAACAAACATACAAATGTCCTTCCATCACATACTTTATCTGTATCTGTATTCTGTATAGCTGGTAAAACCTACCTAAAAAGAAAGAAAGAAAGTGATCTTGAACCAGTTTTAGCTCACTGAAGAGCTAATCTCCCACTGGTCGTGACAGAGAAGACAGACGCTATGTACTGTATTTACAGGTTCATTGCACTGGGGAAATTCCCCTAGCTCTATTCTACAAGCGCAATGAACAGTGGACCCCGGTTTAATGTCCCGTTCTAAGGACTGCGACCCTTTCCAGTAGCGTGCTTGTCGGGTGAGCGACAATAGCCGGTATTCGAACTCCCAACCTCTTAGTCCAGAGGCAGGGTCGCTAACCACCGGACTATGCTACAGTAGCACACACACTCTTTTACCATCATGATCAATTTTTAGGCATACATGTAAGGGCTTTCACTATGTGGACTGTCACTGAGAAAATAGGACTTCTAATGAATTGTTTTCCACAGGTGCCCGGATGATACCACCCAGCGATGTGGGGGGAACTCCAGTCTAGATGTGTACTCTGTGGACGGCCCGTATCTGCTGGAAGCATCCCTGTCCCCCGCGGCAGAGGTGGTACAGTCGGGGGATGTGGCACAAGTCGACGTCACCGTGGTACTAGCCAGTGCCTTCAACCTGTCCACAGGTTTGTAAAGTCTCTGATCAGCTGAGTGAAAAGTTTTGCGGCATGAAATTCAGGCAAGATGAGTGAAAAGATGTGCAAATACAAGTGTATCAGAGATGACTTCACTCCCTTACTAGAGCTGTGTACCTAAACAAATTTTAGGTACAGGTACAGGTACAGGTACACAGGTTTAGGTACAGGTCCGGACCTGAACCTGTACCTGAACAATTCGACCAATTTATATGCTCTTCTGAACTCCTTCAATAACAAAAAAACATAAATAGACTTGATAGTTAAGGTTTGTGGCGAATGCTCAGATAAAATATAGGCAAAACTAAGATGTTTTTGTTTTCATGAACACACTGTCCTTACACAGGCACCCATTGTTAACCAGCTATTTAAACATTTGAGGTCACAAATAGGCATAAAATTGGTGTGAAATTGTTTAGGTACAGTACCGGTACTGAGGGATTAGGTATTTTGGACCTGTACCTAATCAATTTTTCCGGTACAGTATCGGTACTGCGTACCGGTACACAGCTCTATCCCTTACCCATACTGTTTTTCTACTATTAACACAAATGTATCTTGAAGGCACCAAGTGCTTCTACATGTAGCTCTTTTTGACTGACATGTCCATCAAATAGATATAGAACAGTCTCAAACACTACATTCTCTTACTCATTATATAATTAGGTATTTGTCAATTACAACATTGGTAACGGGAGGGGAGCACTGTACTGTACAAACCACAAAAATATTGTAGTTTTGTGTGTATGCGGTGTTTGTATGTGGCAAAATAAGTTGTAACTTGAGTGTACGTCACCTTGTCCTTGTCCTTTGTGTAATGCTAATAAAAAGATAACTTTTCTACTCTCACTGAGAAGAAAAGCAGAACAGTTACTGAGGATGTATGGCAATGCTGTATTATTTGTATAGCAGAAACTGCAAATCCACACACACACATACACATCGCTCTCTCAGTTTTGACTTGATTGTATGATTGTTTCCTACCTAGGTCTCCCAAGTTACAACACCTCCCACTTTGAGTATGTGGACTTTTCGTGGAGCTACGGAGATGGGCAAAATGGAACGTCCCAGGCCAGGGTTACCTTGGATACAAGCATTATGTCTCTCATGCACCAGTATGCCAGAGTGGGGGAGTACACCATTGGTGAGTTTATACATATTTTGTGATTGTTTGAATGATGGAGACTAGAAAATCAAAACCGTTGACCTCATTTGAATTATGTATAGAAAAATCACTGGCTGCAAGGAGTTTTGTATGTTGTTGTATGTGTTGTATGTTGTTTAGACAGGGCTCGAAATGCACCCGCATAAACAAGTTAGCGTACCTTGTAAAATTGGGACTGTGCAAGTATTTCTGATGTCTATGTGCACCTAAACTGCACTGGTCCATGTATAATAATAATTATCTATTGATTGATCGATGAGTACAATCTCTAGCATGTGGCAGCGCAACTAAGTAGGTGGCGCTGAATTGTATGCTAGTGTTTAAAAACAGAGAAACAAATATTGCACAGTTAACAAATAGACAACTAAACAAGTGAGTATTTCACAGTTAACATATAGACAACTAAATAAGTGAGTATTGGGTTTATATAGGCATACTTGGATTTTTATTTGTGTATTGACTGGTACCATATTACATTTTGAATGAAGTGTAAAAGAAGTAATGACAATGGTCTCTACTGATCAGTTTCCAGTATTCCGTACTTCTTAAATTCTGAGTGGTGCAGGTAAAATTTGTCTGGTTTAGGTAATTTCTGATGTTAACTGCACCAGCACAGGTATTTAGAAAAAGTACTAGTACTTCAATCCCTTCTAGATGTTAGCAATCTCAATGGTGGATCATAAACTAAGAAGATAATACATTTGTATTCCTTCTTACAGCAATTGGTGGGTTTAGTTTGGATTCGGAATTCGTAATATGCTTACGTGACCCAATTTTTTTTAAATCATTCTCTTCTTCCTTCCAGAAATGCACATCCAGAACCCTGTATCCGCCATGTCCGTCCGAGCGAACATCACCGTCGTTCCTCCGGTCCCGGCGGACTTGGAGATCGAGCGCGCTCCCGGAAGCGATTCGGCGTCCATCCCATCATGCAGTTACTCCTCCTCCGCTCCCGACGCGGAGACCATCACGGTTTTCGCGGACGTTCCGTTTCGTTTGGAGGCATCCGTGGGGAGGGGGAAGAACCTGTCCTTCTACTGGGAGCGAGACGACGGCTCTTACGTCATCTCTACGCCGTATTTGAACGTTCTAAACCCCTGCCAGGGAGTGGTCAACTGTTCAAGGGACATTCAGGTTTGTAAGGCCACAGCAAGTAAATTTTATGGATGACATCCTCCGCAGACTCCAAATCTAATGGGATAGGGTGGAAAAAAAAACAAGGCAGGCCAAAAAATAAGACTCCTACAATTTTTAATTTTTGGCATCATAATCCTTGTTAAACAAGAAACGATACTCATATGGTACTAAGTTTACTGCCAACTATCACAACATTCATTTCAAATAAAAGTTTTCAATACTTGTACACATGGAGATGAACATTTATTGTATTCTAACCAAATGTTTTCCTTTTCAGACTCATACATTCCGATCCCTGGGAGCACATTTTGTTCGAGTGAATGTCTCCAACTCACTAGGTTCTGTGGCAGGAATCATAGAAGTGGTACGGACAGTTATTTCTTAATATTTATCAAGGATAAGTCATTTCAAGTCAATTCTGTAGTCTATGTAGTTTGTCCTGATATAATTTGTTGCCTGAGTGTTAAAAGTTTTGTTCCAACACAAAGAAAAGTTCTCGCCTAGAGGCTAGAGCTTTCTCACAGCCACTCCAGTCTTCTTCAAGAGACTGACCCAGTGAGGCTTTTTTAGAAAAGCCACATGACAAGTCTCACCGGGTTTCTGTGAGACTTGTCACAGAAAGATACTAGTATTGGCTCTTCCGAAACTTACTTTCATGTTTTGCTCTCTCTTGTATTGATAGTGGTTAGTGTCTACATATTATAAAGTTGATGTAATTTTTATTGAACTGTAAGCAAATAGCAGAAATTAAAACTATGCACGATTTACTGAATAAAGAGTCTTTAACAAAACCACCTGCGCAGTGCAATGTGAACCAGTCAGAATTGCCCTGAAGAAAGTGACAGGCAGTCACCGAAACGTTGGTTGAATAAAATCCTTATTTGCGATCAGTGACCTACCAACCTGATGAAACTTATCCACAGGTACGCATGATGTAGTTCAGATGCATGTTTTTTTTTTTCTTGCAGATTGTTGTTGACCGTTCCATCTCCAACCTGACTGTGTCCCTGGATGGCGGGCCTGCGGTCACGACACACGGACAGGCCACCACGTTCCTCCTCACCATGGTAACCGCAGACCGCAGTACCGCGTTCCTGGAGATCGCTCTCGGAGATGGAACGACCTTCAACCACTCTCTCAACAACCGGCGCGGCGAACTGCTCGGATCTAGATCCTCTTCCGTGGATCAGTTTCAGATCACGGCCAGTTACCTTGAAGACTGTGACTTGAGCGTAGGTTTCAGCCATATCTATAGCAGCAGCGGATCATTCCAAGTGTCAGCACGTGCGTGGAACGACGCGAACGAAATGACCGCTGTCATGGCGGACTTGGTCGTAGTCCAAGCCGAAATTCACAGAATACACCTTTCCCTAAGCAGCGCACTACCTGTTGATGCCCCTCAAAACATTACCGTACATTACGCCGAACATACTGGACCTGTAACTGTGGTTTGGGACATTACCAACGCAGATGGGCCCTACTCTTTCAATACAAATTCCAGCGAAGGGACTATTGAACACGTGTTTACCATCCCAGGTACATACACTGTGAGTGTAGAGGTCTCTAACTTGATAAGTTCGCGCAGAGAATCCAAGGAAGTCATAGTTCAAGTCCCAGTGTCCGGTCTTACACTGACAAGCGATAAAGCGAGGTATATCAGAACTGGCGAGTCGGTGGTATCTATGGCAACGGTTTCCATGGGAACGGGCGCTCAGTTTTCCTGGGACGTCTCGGACGGAAGGCAACCGAGCGTACAGTCTACCACGAACACTTCTTCCGCCAGCCATGTTTTCGAACTACCCGGGATTGTGAACGTTACAGTGACAGTTAGCAATCTGGTGACTAGTCCAGTTGTAGAGAAACTACAGTTTCATGTACAGGAGCCAGTACTAGTGGTGAAACTTGCAGTCACCACGCCGGTTATATTAGGCAACAGCACAGACATTGTTGCAAATATAGAAGGAGGGACAGATGCAAAATGCCATGTAGATGTAGGAGGCATATCGTACAACGTCACAGTGACTGAAGGAAGATGTGAGATTCAACACCTGTTTGCAACTGCTGGGTTGCACAGGGTGGTGGTGACTGTGTACAATGATGTGTCCGCCGTGAGGGAGCAGGTAGACGTGGAAGTGCAGGAAAGCATTTCGGGGGTGGAGCTGGAAATGTTGGGGATGCCAGTGGTGGGAGAGAGCAGCATGTTTGTGGTGAAAGAACAAGGTAATTCTACTTTCACAATTAAAAAAAAATGCAGCAAAATTATAGGTAGAACACAAGATTTTGCATTAACCTTTGCCTAGTTGAGGTAGTCTTTAAGTTTAACTAGAAGTTTGTATGGGTCATTGGTTAGCAGTGTGAAGGTTAACAATCATGCAAATTTGGTTAACACCATACATATTATATTATTGGGCTCTTTGCATCTCCAAAGATGGCTACAGCCTAGGACTTGTAATGTAAGCTGCTGAAAATTAACTCTTTCTATTACATCTTACATGACATACATGTATAACAACGTTAGACTAGCAGTAAGAGGTTTTTCGTACTGGGCAAAGCAATGACTGTTTCATGTGATTTGACCAACAGGAAGCCTCAGCAGTATAGCAGATGCCCTGTACACCTGGCGGCTGGATGGTGAACTGCAGGGCTACACGGCTGTCCCAGTCTTCAGCACTTCTCTCTCTGATGAGGAAACACATGTTTTATCTGTGGATGTTAGCAACTTGGGTAAGACTTCTTCCTGTTTCAAGTGAGGTGTGAGGAAGGTCATAGTTCAGTTCCGTGCACCCAATTCTTTGCGGTGGGTGCACCAGTACTCCCAAATATTTTCGTAGGTTTACAACATGTAAAGATGTTGCATAGTAGTATACAGCATATTCTTAACATCTAAATGTGAGAAAAATAATAGAAAGACTCCATTTGCTATTGATTGTCAGGTCGTAACCTTAAAAGTAGAATAACCGACCACTTCTTGGACCGTACCATTATACAGGGGACAGGGCGCCTACAGTAGTGGTAAGACTTGTAGTATTAATCTAGCAAAAACTATTGTAGTTATGCTACGCTCACTCGGTGGTTTATTCAGTGGTTATCGCACCTGACCAAGGATTATCTCACCATATACACCTTATTGACTGCTAACTTTTCTTTGTTTCCTTGTCCAGTGACTACACAGAGTGCCACCATGGATGTCCAGTCGTCGGCAGAAGCCATTGAGCCGTACCTACAGCACAGTGGAGCATCGGCGTCAGGGCAGGCCGTGGAGTTCACGGTCGTGTTTCCCTCTGGGTGGACGCTAACCGCTGCCTCCATGTCTGTTGGGTATGGGGACAACACTGAGGAAACTCACAACATTCCTAATGCAAGGCAATACAGGTACTATATGTGTGAATATTGTGTAGGGAATGATGGTTTTTGGTTGTGTTTATGTGGTGAAGCTAGTCATCTCTACGCACAATGTGCAAGAGAATTGGGTGTGTGAGTGAGTGCACATGTATCTGTGCATGTGTGTTTTTGTGTGTGTATGTGTGTGTGCCTGTACATGTGTCTGTGTCTGTATTCGTATATCGGTGTCTGTATGTGCATGTGTGTGTGTCAGTGTGTGCGGGTACGTGTGTGTTTGTATGTGAGTGTTTGTATGTGAGTCTTTAAATGTATATCTGTATCATTATGTGGGCATATCTGCCTTCCTGTATGAAATCTGGTGCTAGTGGTATAGTCAGCTTATTATTGGCTGAACATAATAAATGTATGGACTAGCCAGTTGGTATCCCAAAAGCCACCCTGACTCTGTTTGCAAACAGTTTTGTCTATGCTACACAAAAAAAAAACAACAGTTACTCAAGCAACAGGATATGATTTTGGAAATAGTCAGATGTTTCAGGTAGCATTCATTACCTTTCGTCAGTGACACTGCAGGAGAAATGCAGGTTTATGAGCACAAACTATTGATTGATATGCAAGTACGTGAAGACAAATTTTTTGGAAGTTTTATCTATGTTTGACTCTAACACAGGTGGAGCCATGCCTACACGAGTGCTGGACTGTTTGGGCTGGTTGTAAACCTGACTGTGAATGGTGACCGTGCCCAGCTCTTCAGCTATGTGTCTGTCCAGGAGCCAATCAGAAACCTTCATGTGGAGGGACCACGGCATGTCAAACTGCTCAGGTAAAGCTTGTGATTTTGTTTTGTAACTTAAACTTTAAGTTAGTTAAAGCATTCGTAATGTAATCATAATTACTTGAGAGTAATTATACATTTAGTAAGTAAAAAGATATGTACACAAATATTTGGGTGCACCAGTGCACCCACAGAAATAAATTGGGTGCAAAGCTCCAAGTTTGGGTGCACTAAGGTGCACATGCACCCAGTATTTCGAACCCTGAGCCTTCTTTCAATGGCTTTGTTTACTTCTAGCCCTCCCAGCTCGCAGACATGGCATGCAGTTTCTGACTCCGGTACAGCAGTGGTATATCGCTGGATACTGGACGATAACACCACTGTACTCACAACTATGGACAGGGTCAGTTGGACAGAAGTTTCTGTTTTCTCATTTATGTGGGGAAAATCTTACATTCAGTTTGTGAAGATATTTTATAGAGTCTGATATTTTTTTGTGCAGATAAATTCAATTTCATTCTAGAAGGTAATGTACAAATATAGCAAAGAATGTTCAGACCTTAGAACAAGTAGTATAAGTTGATTCTATAGTCTTGTACATTCTTTTGTACATACGTGTCTGTATGTATGTCTAATTACAGACCTTATGAAAGTTGCTGTACTTTTGTTGGGTCAATGAAGTTCTTCTATTTTTTTATCAATTTACTGTTAAAGCCCTCATTGCCCACAAGCATCCAATCATTGCTATGCTGTGGTCTTTTCATGACATTCTCTATTGCAGAAAAGTGGAGCAGGTAAATGTAAGACGTTGTTGCCTAATATTAGTGCAAGGAATGATATAGAGTACTGTATGATACTCTCTAATACATTTGTTATTTCTTGACAGGTTTTGCACACCTATAGCACCAGTGCCACATATGCAGTGGAGCTCTTTGCATCAAATGGAATCGATTCGCAGCAAGCTACCACAACTGTTGTTGTCCAACATCCACTAACACAGCTGGACATCAGTGTGAACCCAGTGCTACAGGGTGAAGAGACTGATATACAGATAACCGTTACGGGTGGGAGAGAGTTTGATTTTGACGTTGACTTTGCCGACGGAACCAGACAAGTCTTTTCGTCCGTACACGACAGCGATTCTCTCGTGGTTTCTTCCGTTTCGCGCAGAAATGATGACATTCCGACAAACACCTTTTCTCTAAATCACACGTATCCCAATGTGGGAGAGTACCCTATCTCAGTCAATGCCTCGAATCATGTGACCTGGCTCAGCCAATCAGCATCAGCCGTGGTCGTTGAGCCAATCACGGGACTGCAGTTGATGGTGCAAGATGGACAGACGACAGTAACAACAGGGACCACTGTAGTTTTTGCAGCAACAGTGGCAACAGGGTCGGATCTGAGGTTTACCTGGATGTACGAAAGCACAAACAGTCCATTCCCATCGCAAATCTCCAATGTGCAAAGGTTTGTTAAATCCTACATATGTTGTAAAGATGTTGTCAATGGTGTTAAGTATTAAATAGACTGATTCTGACTGTCAATCACAATTAGCGGGTCAACCAATGAAAGAACAGTTGCATGTCCATCAAATTTTTGCATCTTTATGTTTTTATTTTGCATTTCTACATTTTTATGAGGGTGGGGGGATCAGAATTGGTCTGTTTGTTTGTCTCTGCTTTATGATTAATACATTGACAATTTTTAGAATGTTAGATTTTTTTATAATCCTTTGAAAGGTTTAGAAACATTGTGACTTTAGGCCACACCAATTTAATTTGTTGGTTCTCGGATTTTTTCAGAAAAAATATGAAGCGACAGGGCGAAAAAAAATAAAAATAAAAACAGGTCTAAGGCATCCTATTATAGGCTTAAATGCTATGAAATGAGCCATGAAGTCGACACAAAAGGCTGGGTTAAAATTTAAACATTGAATTGTGAACTTTTAATCAAACCACTGCAATGATAGATGGGAAAGCTGTAACAACTAGGAAGAAAAGGACTTTCCTCAACTGTTGGGGGCAAAACATGAGCATTTTTGAGTTGATTCAAGACCAGAATCAAATTTTTTTTTTTTTGCAAATCAGAAAAAAACGAAGAGGCGAATCCGAGAACCAACAAATTAAATTGGTGTGGCCTTAATTGTCTTTAATTTGAAGTATATGTAATTCAAAAGTATTCGAAACATAGAGAAAAAACCCACGTGGTGACGCGGAAATTGACTCTATCTCCTGTTTTTTCTCACATTTAGTACTTTGAACAGCAGCACAGCTACCCACACCTTCAACATTCCGGGCACCTACACTGTGACAGTTAACGGGAACACGCGTGTGCCTGTCTACAACCCTCCTGTCAGAGCTCGGATCACTGTTGTTGTTGGCCAGAGGATCTCAGGCTTGATGCTCGATCCACCCAGACAGTTCTTTACCCCGGTGTTTCATGCCGAATTTTCCCTACAATCGGATGGAAACTGGGCAACAGTGCCGTTACCCTTTGAAGCATCCGTGCAGCAGGGTACAAGCGTGAGGTTCCTCTTTGATTTTGGCGATGGCTCTGGGACATTGGAAGTTCCTGGTGCTGTAAACCCCTTCTTTGGTGACATCTCAGGCATTGCAAGACATGCGTTCACACAGGGTATGTGGAATCAGCCTTTTTGTCTATTTGTTAGATCTGCGGTGCATACTTTTGAAGTCAGAAGAGGAAAGCTAACTCACGCATTTGTTAGTTGCGTCCTCACTTCAAACAGTTACAAGTATGGTTGAGATTTTGAGCTGTACATTAATAATAAGAGAGTTTAAGTGAAAGATACTGGCTGTAGAGATACAGATTCTGGTGTGTTACGCCGAAGGGCGGTTATACCGGCTATACAGATACAGAAGCTGGTGTGTTACGCCGAAGGGCGGTTATACCGGCTATACAGATACAGAAGCTGGTGTGTTACAATGAAGGGCGGTTATACTAGCTATATAAATACAGAAGCTGGTGTGTTAGGCCAAAGGGCAGTTACACTGGCTATACAGATACAAAATGATACAGAATATCTTGTATTTTTCTTTCAGTCGGAAACTACTCCGTTTCTGTCGTTGCCGTTAATGAGTTGAACAACGAGTCCACGAGCCTGCCGCGGCCGTTTTTCGTGGAAGTCGCGCCGTTTGGCTTGTCGCTGGAGAGCGAATCGTACTTGACACCGCACGGGAATGTGACGGAGCTTCGCGCCACGCTGGATAGGGGAACGGATGTAACGATAGATTGGGCCATGGGGGACCAGACTGACTACACTGATGCTGGTAAGAAATGTTACATAGTTCTCACTAGGCTATTTGAGCATAGGGGCCCCCTATGCTGTGATTTGAACCCCCTATGCTGTGATCTACCCCCTTTAAACCAGAAATATAGGGGGTTATAAGTTTCAAATTTTTTTAGAGAGGATACCAGACTCCCTGTCATGTTTTTAGGACTCAATGTGCACCACAGAAAAGTTGCCCTTATGTACCTAACCCCTATGCTGTGATTGTGAAAAAATCCTGGTGAGAACCCCGATGTTAATGTCCAAGTTTAAGACTATTAAATTTTGTCACAAGATTATTTTAGGCCAGTCACCCTAACAATTCATATGTTGGCGGCAAACAATTCATATGTTGGCTGCGAACAAATGTTTTTCAAAATGAATTTCCACATAATTTTGTAATTCATATGATACACTTATGTAATTCATATGTTACACTTATAATTAAAATATATAAAACATGGTACACTTATGAATATTAAAACCAAGGGGAATCAAAAAAAGATCCTTACTAGTCTTCTCTATAACTAGTGAGAAGCTGATATGTAAAAAGATTGCTTTTCTACTGATGTTTTACATTGTGAGGGGTTAGAGAAATTTTATGTTTAAATGTCCTACCTAAGTTATTTTTCATTATTATTATGCCACCACCAACGCATACAACGAACAACAGAAATACTCATTTTCATCTGTGTAAAGTGAGAAAATTAAGTGCCTTATCCAAGAGCACAGGATTGGCGGCATGGCAGGATTCGAACCCGGGACCTCTTGGTTCCGAGCCAAATGCACTGTTGTTAAGACACACGACCCCACAATTGAGTTATGTTGTGTTTTTCCGTTGTGTAGGTTTGAGCGTGCGGCACACGTACAGGGAGCGTGGAGACTACACTGTCACCGTGGTTGCCAGTAACAGGGTCGGACGACAGGAGGCCACTGCCGAAGTGAAGGTCCTGGGAAGGGTGCAGGGTAGGTTCTGAACAGGCATCCTTCTTCTGGCCACACTGTTTAGTAGTGATGCATACCGGTTCACTGGACTTGGATCCGGACTTGTAAGAATGTTTAGGTTCAAGTCCAAAAAAACCTAAAAGTCAAGAACCGGGTCCGGACTAATTACCATAAAAGACCATTTCACATACCCCTTTTCTTTCCAAACCACCTAAAACCTTCCGTAGATTGTAAAATCTTTGCTGCAAAATGAAGAAAACACTGACTTCTGACCTGGTCAATGACCTGAACCAGACCCGTCTCTCACCATGGTAACTGGTGTCGGGTTACATCATGTTGCAATTTTATAGCAGGAGGGATTTAGACTCCTGTCGCCATATATATGAATGTGATTGAGTAAGATTTAACAGGGCAGACCATATGTGAAGGTAAACATTATGCATTTGCTTTGTAAATGTTACCTTTCTAGTTAATCAAGTAAACCAGCAAAGAAATTGTCAAATGCTGGTTAAACGTAAAACCTCCTTGGTGAAGGAAATGTCCTTTTACTGTTCTAATAGTTATTGTTTCTTCTCCTATCTAAGGTGTGGAGTTGAGCTTGGATGGATCCCTCTTCCCAGCCTATCAGGACGTGACTTTCAATGTTGTTACTGTGACCAATCACGCGAGCTGGTACAGGTGGCACCTGGGTGACGGGGAGACCAAGCTGACATTCAGACCTACACTGGACTATCAGTACCAAGAAAACGGAAGGTGGGTAGAGAAACTTTGTCGAGGTGCTTTGTTGGCTGTACAAAATGTCCAGACTATGCATGATGTACGAAATGGCTAGTAAACCGGTGGATGTACCAACTAATACCAGCTCAGAAAAGAACAAGAAATTGTCATGCCTTCAAATATCAGAGCTATCAACCAAGGATTGAGGTGCTTGAAAACTCATTCTTTCCGAGAACTATCACAGAGTGGAACTCGCTGTCACCAAGTACAGTAGAGGCATTATCATTTTATAGCTTTAAACAATGTTAAGGTGTAGATTTCAAAGGCTAGGGGTAACAAGTCATTAGGTGTGATATAGCCAAGCTGGTGTGTTTCGCTGAGGGGTGGTTACAAATTAAGTTGACAATACTGTTTCTCCTAACATACATGTACATCATCAGAGTGTAGGAAATAATGATGACATGTATGTCAAATTAATGATGTCTTTTTCTGTGTATTAGATATTGTATCACAATGCCCATGTATGTCAACGATGTAGCACAAAACTCGTTTTTCCCAAGAACTATCGTAGACTGGAATTCGTTGCCACCAAGCACAGTTGGGATATCATCACTAGAAAGCTTTAAACAACCCCTGCAATTAAATGTGCAAAGATTGAGTGTAACAAGTTGTTCAGTGTGACATAGGTAGCTGCCGCCGCGCTGTGTGCCTGCGAAGCTGGTGCGTTATGCCGAATGGCGGTTATACCGGCTATACTGATACAGACAATGCATGTTTGTGTTTATATTTCTCCAGATTTACAGTGTACGTAACTGCCGGGAATGAAGTCAGCCAGGCCGTGTCTTCACCAGTGGAGATCGAGGTACAACTGCCGGTCGAGCTTCGCTGGATAAAGTACGACACGTCCACGGTCCTGGGCCAGCCGACCGTCTTCACCGCGTACTGGGTGGGCAGTAACCAGAACTTCACCTGGGACTTTGGGGACAACGTCACAGCCTTGACACAGGAGGACAGCATAAGTCACACTTACACCAGGTAACATACCGTAGGGGTCACTGGAAGACAGACGTAGAATGTCCAGACTGTGCATAATGTACAAAACTGGTGGACGTACCAACCACTAAGTATCTGATACCAGCCCAGAAAAGAACAAGAAACAGTCATGCCTTCCAATATCAGAGTTATCAACCAAGAATTGAGTATTCAAAAACTTGTATTTCCCCAGAACTATCGTAGACTGGAATTCGTTGCCACCAAGCACAGTTGGGGCATCATCACTTAGTCTAGAAAGCTTTAAACAACTCCTGCAATCAAATGTGCAAAGATTAAGTGTAACAAGTCGTTCGGTGTGATATAGCTAGCTGCCGCCGCGCCGTGTGCCTGCAAAGCTGGTGTGAAGGGCGGTTATACCGGCTATACTGATACAGATACAGAACATACCGTAGCACGTCGGCAGAACATACTGTACATGCGCGAAACCGGTAATGTGTGGTGCATAGCACTTTGGCAGAACGTCTCACGTAAGGTTGTATTCGCGCATATAAGGTTAACACTCCGTCTGTAGTTTCCAAGTGTTTTGTTCGAAAAAATATTGACTGCAACAGGCAAAATTGTGATCTAACGTTCACCAAAAATCTAACAAAATTCATGAAAAATGGGGGGTTTGCGCAGGTACAGTACATTCTGCAGAAGTACTAGATATCATGCTCCTAGGCTAAAAAAGTTTGAACACAGTGTAGAGAAATGAGCAAGAAAAAAGCAATGAGTAAACAAAAGAACGTAGACTTGAATGTAGAAAGCAATGAGTAACAAAAGAATGTGATCTCTTGTGATCCAACATGTTACAATACAAACTTTAAGTAAAACTTGCATGTGGACACTTCTAATTTCACTGTGAATGTTGGAAAGCCAATTGTACTATGTTTCATCCCTCAGGTGTCAGATCATGAAGCTACAAAAGGTTGGTCAGCTCAAGAAATCTATGTTGACTATTCTTAATAAAATTGAAAATTAAAAAATTGAAATTGAAAACATTGTCCCTTCCTCCTGTGTCTCCAGGCCTGGGGAGTACGTTGCCATGGTAACTGTTACCAACGACGTCAGCTCGGATACGCAGGAGCTGCAGGTGTTCGTGGTGACGGAGATGTGCAGTCCACCTGACCTCCGCATCCTCGGAGCACCTCGCATACAGGTTAACTCATCCCCCTTAAAACAGTTCTAAAGCACCATTAATGCTACCCAAGAAACTTTAATATTGAACTCAGTCTCAGGACTTGGTCTTAATTTTTGATCTAAAAAGTTCAAATGCTACACATTTTCTGTCCACCCAGTAACTAAATCTTTTTTTTTCTGCTGCCCTGAAATTGGATGCCTTTAATTTGTTCTGGTTAACATTTTACAATATTTTTTGTTATAAGTTCATCTTTTTTATTCATATTAAGATAGAAGAACAAATGGAGTCTTGAAATCACACTCAAATTCTCATCTTTTATGGTACAGATCAACTACTCCAGGCGTCTGCGGGTTGAGTCAGCTATATTCATCGCCTGCAATGCCACCCCCGTGGCCGTATTCCAGTGGACCGTTTCCAATGGAACGGGACATACCATCCAGCCCGAGGGAGTGGAGGCGGGGGTGTTCCAAGAGAGAATCCTGGTGTTGCCCAGTCACATTTTGCCTTATGGAAACTACACTTTCCACCTCAAGGCAAGTTTCTACTTTGAAGGTCAATGACCTGAACCGGATGTCTGTCACCATGGTAACTGGTGTTGGGTTACACCATGTTGCAATTTTATAGCAGGAGGGATTTACTCTGTCACCATATGTATGAATGTGTTTGAGTAAGAATTAACAGTCTGAGACTATATGCGAAGGTAAACATTATACATTTGCTTTGCAAATGTTACCTTTCTAGTCTGAAGTCTCATATTCTCCTTTTTCCCTTCTCCTAGGTCCAAATGAATGGCACTATTGTGTATGCCACGTCGTCTGTGCTGGTAACTGTGACACAGACCCCGCTGAGAGCAGTGATAGTCGGTGGAACGGCCAGGAAGGTTGGTCGTAACTCCACCCTGACGGTAGACGGGGGCAGCTCCCTGGATCCTGACTTTCCCAACAGTCCTGGATTGAAGTAAGTTATCCTTACACACTGCGAATTTTGAAACTAGACACATATATCTAGTAGATTAACTAGACTCTGTTAGGTTGACTGTTGTACCACCTATATTATCTCATTCACTCACTCACTATCCAGTTTAGCATCTGTTGTTCCCCGACTTCTGAGGGTTAGAGGTGCTTGCACAGCAATACTGTGGCTTGATGCCACTTGCCTCTATCCTGTGGGTTGACTTTATGTAGGTTCAAGTGGTGGAAGTCCTCCCTTACATTGTCAAAACATTTCTTCTTTGGGCCTTTCACATCCATTGTGAGGATCTTCCTTGGCCACTTGTCCCTGTCCATTCTTTGGAGGTGGTCATACCATCTTGGTTAGATCTCACTATATCCTGAATGTTATGGGCTCCGAGCCTAGTATCGAGCATCTATATTGTCAATGAAATGAAGAAGGATCAAGACTTGTATGGCAAAGCCTGCACATATTTTGTAAAGAGATATTGCTCTGAGTATACTGCCTGTGTTTTCAAAATAAGGTCTGTTTTCCCCCTCCCACAGCTACAACTGGACCTGCTACGTTCTGGGGAGTCCAGATACCCCTTGTTTCCGCGTCCGCAACAACAACGGGAGCGAAATGAACGCCTCCTCACCGCTGGAAGTGGACGCTGCTGTTGTCAGCTTCCACGGCAGACGGTTGCGGATAAACGCCAACTTGTTCGTGGTGGAACTTGTCGTGAGTAAGGACGACAGGATGGCGATCACGACGCAAGTACTGAATGCCACCGCGACTGAATACCCTATAGAGTAAGTGGCACAGATCATCACTTTTGGTGAAAAGTATCCAAGCAACAACTATCTCTTGTTTCGTAAGATGGAGAATGAATATTGCTTCAGTCTGTGATTCAAATTGAATGGTGGAATATAAGCACTTATAGACCAAGCTGCATTGTGCTATATGCTATTGAGAAAGCATTTTGCTTTGTATAAAGCAAATTAAGTATGCTTCCAGGTTGACCAAAGAGAAAGAAAAGCAAGAAAACTGTCAAGTTGGTTTAGTGATGCCAAATTGACAATACTAGAAAACAGCAAGTAACTAGAAAGGCCAATATTTGCTTTGGAGCAAATATAGCGATGGGTTCACCACATTTTACCACATGGCAGGGAAAGAATGAGAAACACAAGGGAAAACAATGCTTTACATTGATATAACTATAGTATGAAGTAACATACAACTAAGACTACAACAGTTGGATAGCTATTCCCTACATTATTGGTTAGGATTGCATAATGCAAACTGTTGATTTTCAAGATAAAAAGAAGCGTTCATAGCCCGCATTCCAATGCTGGAGCAGGAAAGCTTAAAATACCTACCAAAACACTTGAATACAGACATACTGTCAGTATGGCATGGCTCTGTGCAGGTGTAAATGAAGTTAAGCCAGTTAAATCCCAACAGCCAATCAGCAAGGAGAATAGAGGAAAGCTGCATGCCTATTGGTTGATGCCTTGCATGCCATTGTGATGACTCATGTCCAAATGTGGTAAACACTGCACACTTACACAGTAATACATTAGCTATTACACAGCCAAAAAACTCAAATAAAACCATTCTAAAAGCCTGTATCACAATAATTTAAAAAACGCCTAGGGGTATTTGCCCACTGTACCTCCATACCAAATTTCAGGACCTTAGGCCCTAAAATGAAGAAGCTGAATCCATTTAAAGATATGGCAGGAGGAGAAGGAGAAGAAGAAACATCAGAAAAAGCAATATGGTTTCACCACACCACTTCGTGGTGTGGTGAACCCATAATAATTTGAAAATACAGTGAATTTAATTCTGTCTTCCTCCCAAAAATCCTAAAGTTCCTTTTTTGCTAGAAAGCTATATATCCATTTTCACTGATGTTATCTATATTTTTAAGGAAGTGTTGTTATTATGTTTACCTACGCAGATGGAAAACATAATGTTTTCTGTTTCTTTTTCTCCAAACAAATAAGGTCAATGACCTGAACCAGACGTCTGTCACCATGGTAACTGGTGTTGGGTTACATCATGTTGCAATTTTATAGCAGGAGGGATTTAGACTCCTGTCTGACCATATATATGAATGTGTTTGAGTACGAATTAACAGAGCAGACCATATGTGAAGATGAACATTATGCATTTGTTTTGCAAATGTTATTTTAAGTTTCTAGTCATTTTATTTTTAGAACGAAATGTTTTAGCGACTTTCTCATTACTTTTCAGGCTGCAGATAGACTGTCCACAGTGCACATCTGGAACAGTGAACAGTAACAACAAGCTGACACTCCATGCCGTGTGCCCTGAGTGTGACAAGCTGCCTGATGTAGACTTCTTGTGGCAGTTATTCAAAGTGTCGGAGGAAAACCACTTTGATCCAGACAGTAAGGGGAATCCTGTTTGTCCTTATTGGTGTCAAATTGTGAAGTTATAAGACATAATCGTATTAGATTACTCTTAAATTTTAGTTAAACTGTAGAGGACACTGATCATTCTTCATTAAATACCAACAGTAGTTTGCTTATAAACACAAGAAATACAAATGTTATATGTTGGTCATCATGTTACGACTTATGGTTAGTTGTTAGCAAAAATCTGTTCAAGAACATGTGCTAAAACCTTTTTTGTTTCAACTAAGTTGATACTTTTTGCCTAAGAAAGTTTTGAAATATCTACTTGAATATGCAATGATGCATTTTAGGTAACCTGCTATGTCATTGGAAATAAAAATCTGAAATCTGAATCTGATAGAATTTCTGTTTTTGCCCTCCCAGCTCCCCTGGCTTGTGTGGCCCCCGATGGTTCTAACTACCAGCCCATCATGGGTCCCAACGGCACTGCCACGCCCAGCAACGGTTCCCAGGCGTCGACTGAAGCAGGGGACGAAACAACTGTCAAAATTACACAGCCTCGAGTCACGGTGGTTCCAAATATAGATGAAAACGGACGTGATGGTAAGAATGCTCTCAGCAGGTTCTCAAGCCACTCATGTCAAATATTAACTTGATATAGAATAGTATAGAAATTGAGAAAGCATCATTCACCTTTATGTTAGAGACTCACTCACTCACTCACTCACTCTCGCACCCACTATCCGGTTTATCGTCTGTTGTTCCCTGTCATCCGAGGGTTAGACGTGCTTGCACACTGGTACTGAGGCTTGATGGCAGCCCGCCTCTTGCCTCTGTCCTGTGGGTTGATGTTTTGCAGGTTAAGGTGGAGGAAGTCCTCCCTTATGTTGTCTATATACTAGTATCTCTTCCTTGGATGCCCTCATGGGTTTTTGCCTTCCACATCTATTGGGACGATCTTTTTGTAAATTCTCATATCATGAGATTGCAAATATTAGTCTTGAGTAGTAGGAGCCTTCTGCCTGTTATGTAACCTTGCTTCAAACAACAAACTGGAGAATGTAAAAAATAACGCAGACACTAACATGCAGAGAGAGGAGAGAGAGAGCCTTGCTTCATGTCAGTAAAACCAATACTGTTGAATGAAACACAAACTGTCTCTCTTTCCGCAGGTAATGTTGCCCCTCTTCCTGGGGGCAGCTTCCCTGACAGCGAGTCCTTTGATCCCTTTGAGTTTGAGATCTCGGAGGGCGGGGACGGAGACTCGGACAGGGATCAGGGGATTGGCTGGCCAAGGGACCTGTTTCCCATCGGGGAGGGGGATTCTGGGACAGGCAACGACGGCAGACCCACCCTCGCACCACCGCAGAGACAAACAACACGTGGTTAGTGTCATAATCCTTCTATATACATGTAGAACTATCCGGAAGAGTGCTCACTTTGTAACCGGGTGGTCGTGAGTTCAAACCCCGGGCCGGGTCATACCAAAGACTTGGTACACACTGCTTTCTCTGCTTAGCACTCAGCATCATCTATGAGAAAGAGTGTGGGAGTTAACCACACAACACTACCAGCGGGCTAGCCCCCTGCTTAGTGCTTGCACACCTGTGTGGCTCAAGGGCTACAGAAATGGAGCAAGGAGTGGAAAGGGACCTTTTTCTTCTGTATTTTTTTTCCATTTTCGTGGTGACCTCCACAGCATGAAATCGTGACATTGAGAGTATGTATTCCCACAATTGTTTTACTCTGTTTCTAATTGTGCTAGGAAATTGCTGCAACCAGAAACTTTGAAGAACTTGTGTTCTATAGTGAACATGTTTGGTTATGTTTTATTTGTTTAACAAAAATTGAACCTTCTACATAAGAGAATCATAAATCTATTAGAAAAAAAAATTCATGATTGTGTTTAAAGTTAAAACTTTTGTTCCAACACAAAGAAGTTCTCTCACCTAGAGCTTTCAACCAGTCACTCTGGTCTTCCTCAGTAGACTGACCCAGTGAAGCTTGTCACGTGGCTTCTTTGAAGTGTGACGTCAACACTGGGTCAAAGGTATCTGGTAGACAATGTCGACCCCCGTCGTGGTTCAATGGAACAAAAGTTTTAACTTTAAACATGTAACTACCAACACAGATTAACTTTCATGATAGTAAATTTATGTGTTGTACGTTGCTTTTAAGCTGGATCATACACTTATTCTGAATTTTCTGTTCTAGCCACTACAACCATGGCTACCACCCCTGGGGCGACACAGGCCCCTCCCCCCCACATCAACAACGGAGACTTGACTGGCAACACTGACCAGAACCCTGAGGAAGCGGACGGAGGGGACCGGCCAGACTGGGTGGACAGACCGGGGGGTGGGGTGGACACCGGCAACTGTAAGTAGGGCTGTTCCTGGCAGTGCTCTAGCCAGGATTTTTTTATAGCATAGGGGTCAGGTACAGAAGAGCAACTTTCGTGTCGCATTGAGCCAAAAAATTTTGAAACTCATAACCCCCTGAGACACTATTTCTTGTTTAATGTGGAACAGATTTTGTGAAGTTAAGGTTTTCCGTTTGCTATAGCTTCATTCTAAAGTTATATTTTCATTTTTTGCAAGATTTATGAGGGTTCTCCCTCTTAAAACACCCCTATGCTGGTTGAAACTTAGCATAGGGGTCAAAATTATAGCATAGGGGTCAAAATTATAGCATAGGGGTCAAAATTATAGCATAGGGGTCAAAATTATAGCATAGGGGGTCAAAATCATAGCATAGGGGGCCCCTATGCTAAAAGGCCTGGCTAGAACACTGCCTGGGGTTGATTTTCAAACAGTCAGGGAGGATTTATTCCCTTTCCCCACTAGGATAGAATTGTCTAGATCAAGCCGAATGGATTCGCTTTGATCCGGCTTCAATCGGTCAATCTATCATACTAGCACAATGGCAGAACGTACTGCACCTGTGTGAAACATATAATGTATTGTGCAGAGCACTTCAGCAGAGCATCTCATACAAGGTCGTATTTTGAGTACAAGTTTAACATCCTGTTTTTTGTTTTTTCCAAATGTTATGTTGGAAAAAAAAATCGCCTGCAAAAAGGAAAAGTTGACCAGACATCCAATGAGAATCGTAAAAAATGAGGGTTTTGCACAGGTGCAGTACATTCTACCGACATGCTTATTCTACGGATACTGACAAATTCGTCACGACATTGTCTCCCTTCTGATTGGTCCACACAGCCGGGGATTCGAGCGGTCAGTGCCCCCTCTGTCCTGGTGGCAGTGGTCAGACCGGAGGAGACGGAGACGATGGCGGTGATGAGGTCAAAGACGACGGGTTACCGGAAGGCGCCATTCAGCACGTCGTTAGCAAGTACGATCACGCGCTGCCCTTGATGGACAAAGCTACCACAGGTTAGTACTTACATGAAGTCCTGCTGCTACTTCTCACTAATTCTGCTAGGTGGCGCTGCAGTGTGAACCTTGCAGTACCACATGTGACAAAGCTTGTACCCCCCTCATAACAGTTCATACAACTGGATTAGACTTCTGACCCGTGTTTTACTGCAATGAAGTGTTGCTGCTACTTCCACTAATTCTGCTAGGTGGCGCTGCAGTGGGAAACTTGCAGTACCACATGTGACAAAGCTTGTATTCCCCCTCATAACAGTTCATACAACTGGATTAGACTTCTGACCCGTGTTTTACTGCAATGACATCTTGCTGCTACTTCCACTAATTCTGCTAGGTGGCGCTGCAGTGGGAAACTTGCAGTACCACATGTGACAAAGCTGTATCCCCTCCTCATAACAGTACATGACTGGAATAGATTTGCTGACCCATACAGTCTACGTGATCTAGATGTGACTGCATCTGTTGTAGTCACAATGACCTTGGCCCTCTCCCTGTTTACATTTTATTTCATAGCACTTAATCAGATTCTGCATTTTCTGTTCTATCCACTGTAAAGCACTTGAAAGACACAATTTTTATCTCGGCCGCCTGCAGCGGCCGAGATATTGTGCTCCAAAATATGTACGTTGAATGGATGGATAAATCTTGATTTCGACCGTGAAAAAAAAACCCAATGAAACCAATTACTCTGCATGTATACTTTACTTTGTGGTGTCGACCTACCGGATGATAGTGTCGTTATTCTGATACAACGAAGTTGCTAAAAAGAGGAAATGATGTTTACCACAAAACCATTGTTTTATATCATAGTATGCATTTAATGTTCTAGAATTTCGCTAATAGCTGCTGTAATTGGACCAATAAATCAATGACATAAATTATGTACATTAACCTTCCATATTTGCTTAAGTCGCAAGATGTCGCTTTTGATTGGTGAATAAATCACTGTGACGCAAGTAAATATTCACTTGAAATGAGAAATTTCCGCCCAACAAAACGGACCATTAGATTCCCAGTGCTGTATTACTCTTTTGTTCTTGTGGTCAACTTGTTTTCTTTGCTTGAATCGCGTAAAAGACCAAGGAAAATACAATGAAATCGGCAATCGCCGAGCCGCGCCCCGATCTGCCGCCGCCATCTTGGATTTTTTTGGAAAGCTGCAATTTGGCCCAAACCGCTAGAGGGGGCGAATTAAAATGTTTAATATATTCGGTCTGAAGTTTTAGTAGCTCTAGCAGTAGAGGAGAAGTTTGATAATGCATAGAACGGATAAAATAGAATAAAATTAAATGAAATAAAATAAAACAGAAATAAAAAATAAAATGAAAATAATAAAAAATAAATAAAAATAAAAAAATAAAATAAAATGAAAATTATTGTAGTGGTTACATATACTTAACGTTATATTGTATTTAGCAATGATCATTTTTCACTAATTCCATTGAAGCAAATGATAATGGAAGCCAACTTATTACCCTGTTTGGTGTTACAGGTATGAACATACTAGGTAATACATTCTTTCCTCTCTAGCAGTTACACAAATCTATGTGGACATCCTCCAAGAACACAAAACTACATGGCCAGCGGCCGAGATAAACTTTTTTCAAAAGTCTTGTTCCCCATCTTTTCCCCCACAGGTATCCATGGGAGGTCCCTGGTGATAGCAGCACACACCCTGATGGAGGGGAGAATTTATGCAGTTGCTGTGAGTGCACGGACTCTTGGTAAGACATACCTGTATTCCTCACAGCCATATTCCTAATGAGTAATATGTGGCCTATATCTTTGCAGCCCTGGATTTAACAGTTGAGCATATATTGCATTATAAGTGCAAAAGGACAGGGTCCATATGGAGTCAAAGTTCTAGGTCAGAATCAGATAGCAAGGTCAAAGCCACCGCACTGCAACAGCTATCATATCAAAATATATTCCACAGACATCCTTCTTTTCAAAAACCATAATGCTGGTGTGTTACGCCGAAAGGCGGTTATACCGGCTATACAGATGCAGATACAGATACAGATAATGAGAATTTGCCACCTCAGGTGGTATCTGTATCGGTATAGCTGGTATAACCGCCCTTTGGCGTAATAACACACCAGTTTAACACACCAGGTGGTACCGATATCTCCTCTGTCCCTTCAACTAATATTGAAGATCTCCTGAGTAATTTTCTACATCTTGTGTAATTTTCAGGCATGAGTCCAGAGCGCACGGGCCTGGCCAGGATGTACTTCACTGTGAATGAGGGCCCGAGCCTGGGGAGGTGCACCATCAATCCTGAACAAGGCGTGGAGATGGAGACTCTCTTCACGGTCTTCTGTCTACAGTGGAAGGATGTGGTCAGTCAGATTAACCTTTAGCACTCTGAAGTAGTCATTTGGCTACAAATTCTGTTGGTAGCTAAAGATGTACAAACTTGATTGTCTGTCTGTTTTTAAAAAACTGTATATTGAGATTTTGTAAATACGTTGTAGACATTGTCTAATGATTTTTGTTAATTTTTTGTGAATGAATGCCAGGAAGACTAGTGGTGGACCCTAGGGTCCACCGCTAATGGTTATTCTAAATAAAGTTTCAAAGTTTCCTCTTCCATTGGTGTCCCTGGCCCAAAACATGGATGCTTTTCAATTAATATGTTTTTTTTAAACATGGGTGCAGCACATTTGAACTTTGATCAAAATCTGACAAAAGTGAAAACTTTTGTTTAATTACTGATTTTGAGTTGTCTGATCTTATTAATAACATTGCCCCCTAGAAATGTTGGTTAAATTTTCTACAAGTTTTTACTTTCCTCAAACCCTGTTTTGTAAATTTGTTGGGTTGTGTGATGTAATGGCAGAGCAATTGGCTCAGAACCAAGAGGTCCTGGGTTCAAATCCTGCCAAGTCACCAACCTTGTGCCCTTGGGAAAGGCTCTTTGCACGACTTTCCTCACTTCGCTCAGGTAAAAATGAGTATGCCAGAATGATCATTATCATGATCGTGGGCATTAAAAGAAAACCAGACTAAACCAAATTTGAGAAGAAGTGAACTTGTTAATATTGAAATGCCTTGATGTGTCCTGCAGAATGGACCACTAGTGTACGAGATTGAGCAGAGCGTTGGTGACAAGGACGGAACTCGCAAAGTTATCTACTCAGGGCTGAACTATGACAACATCTTCTACTTACCTGCCGGGGACGAACAAGATGACTTCCAAGGTAAGGGCCATGTGAGCAAAGGAACACTTAGGATGTCTATAAGATGTCTACAAAGATGTCTATAAAGCTTTTCTACCGATTTCATTGAAAGATTGCCATTGAAAAAGAAATCAGGAATTTTGGATTTCTGGGATTGTATTGGGTATTTGAATGTTTTGGAGCTGTGTTGTATGATCAGAGAGAAATACCTGTGATTGAATTACTGTAAGAAATGAAATGTAAATTACTCCCATGATTGCAACATCAGTCAAATTTTCGACCTCTCACATTTATGGCCATCCCCAAACCACATTATAACCCCAAGGGCACACCCAGTTCACGGCCCCATCACTCTAGTGAACCTTAAATGACTCAATATTTCAGTAATTTCTAGTGAACCTTAAATGACTCAATATTTCGAACTATCAATCGACACGAACAAAAACAATACTTCCAACTAAAGCAATTACCTAAAGAATTCACACTAATATGGGAATAAGCATTCCTCTACAGTACATGTACATGCTTGTATAAGGCCGTGTTTACATGTGTGTGCAGTCACCCAAGGCGCTTTACATGTGGTTTACCCTGAAGCCGGTTTCAAGTGGCTCCATCTGAACGCTCCAAATCACATTGAAAGCGCCTCGATCCCAAGCCACTTCTAGAGGTGGTTTCGAATCGGTTTTCCCGCATCGCGATTTGCGTCTGAACACAATGTGATTTCAATGTGACTTTGCCTGGTCATGGATTCTGGGTGATATTTCTTTATTTATATGCAATACCAAATTTTACGTGGCAGCAACTTAAAAAAGATCTGAAGTAATGGTCAAATAATGTGTCCGTTCTAGGACGAGCTTCACCGCCTCTGGCGGGACCACGTCGGCATTCGGCCGAGATACACTGGGAGGGGGGCACCAGCAAGCAGGTCGTTGACCCCTGACATTGATAACACGCTACCTTGCGTGTATTCATCAAACAACAATGAATGCAGTTTGTGCAATTGTGATCGGACACGGTTTGCAAAGAATGTGTGGCACGTGGACCAGATGTGAGGAATGTGAGTTACCCGAATCGCGGTTTGGGTGACTTCACATAAACACGGCCTAAGACAGCTTTTAGGAGTTTAAGAAATAACAGAAGTGATGTGTGTACTGTCTTTCCAGTCTACATACATGTGTCCATCAAGAACTCTCTGGGTGCAGTAACACAGGTGTGCTCCATGCCAGTACAAGTCACACCAAAGATCAACATCAACAGCACACAACTGGCTGAGGAGTTCCTGTAAGTCATAGTTCTGGGTCTTCCCTTGTTTTTTACATTATTGTTTAAAAGCTGCACAGTTGTTGTTGTGAATATGTCACAAAAATACAAAATCTGCATAGTATGTAGTCCTTAAAAAGTCCACATAAGCAGGAAATTTGGTAAATAATATTGATACTGAAATTAAACTGTTTTACAACTCTTAATTTCAGTGAGTCAAATTTCTTTTAGTCAGAGAACAGTTTAATTGTTGTTGTTGTTGTTTAGTATGTCACAAAAATACAAAATCTGCCTATGTGGACCTAAAAAAAAAGTACATGTAAGCAATTTGGTAAATTGCATACGGAAAATTAAATTGTTCTCTAACTCCAAATTCCGGTGAGTCAAATTTCTTTGAGCCAGAGAACAGTTTAATTTTCACTATAAAAAATACATGTGCTGGCATGATATACACTGTAACCCTCTGAGTTTTCAAATTGTTTTCCTGTGCAGTGATTCGACAGTGGTTGCCCCCGGAAACCAACTGTCAGCCTTTGTCTCCAGCGGCAACATGGCCGCCGCCCAGCAGTACGTCCAGATTGCGGCGGCCATGTTGAACCGCATGGAAACCATCCAATTTGACACGGACGTCATGGCGCTGAGGCGAAACATCCGCACGTCCCTTCTCCGCGCCGTGGAACGATTCTCCGTCAGGGACCAATCAGAAACCTTACAGACCAGCTCGGCTATTGCCACGGTAACGGAGGCTGCAAATGAGGTATGACACATTTATTTATGATTGTGCTCTACTGTAAATCTTATAGAATTTTTACTTCTGAGGAGAACTGTGATGGGTTCAATGCAAGGCCTATACAACCACTTCTCGGTATGAACCAGAAATATGAGAGAACTAGAAAGGCCAATATTTGCTTTGGAGCAAATACAGCGATGGGTTCACCACATTTTACCACATGGCAGGGAAAGAATGAGAAACACAAGGGAAAACAATGATTTACCAGGGTTCTAGGTAGGATTTTATTTTAGCGTAGTGGTACCTGACGCACGTCGAGGTGCGGAGCTTTTAAAAATTTAAGCTTAAAAAGCAGCCATTTGAGGGATACCCAAAGGGAAAAAATGTCATTTCTAAGGTATGTACAATGTATCCTTGATTAGTAATTTTTATATTTTTGCAGCTTGGAATCTTCACAAAATACAGAAGATACTCCAAATCAGACACAACCAAGAACAGACTCTGAGATAAATTAAATGTTAAACATTCACGAGTTGGACATTCCCAGGATCCTTTGCGCACAGGGTAGGTCACGTGGGCGCACAGGGTAGGGAAAGGTCGCGGTAAACCACGTGACTCATCCTCGGCTCTGGTCGGAAGAAGGTGCCCTAAGCTATCTGGCCGATAGTAGGCTGGGAGCATTCAATTTCAAAAGTCTGTCTTTTTGTCACATTTTCACG